GGATTCATGAAAAAATTCTTATTATTCTTCAATCAGTTGTTCTTTCTCCCACATATTTCCTTTTATTATAATTTTATTGCATTTCTTTGCTCTACTTATATGTGTGACTTTCTGAAGTGTGGTTTTTTGTTCCTTTGTGTTCCCAGTGGAACATAGCGCTTCTAACTAGAGCTTTAAATTTTCAGCAGCAGTAGTGTTTACTTTTACGGGATGGTGTTGCTAGTCTCATACTCAACAATCCCTCTTTATCAGTCTTATTACTAGACTACTGAGGTAAAGGAGTGCGTTGGTGGCCGTGGATCGAACCCCGGACTACATGAGTGATTGGTGAGCATTCTACCACTATGCCACCGACCCACTGAAGAGTGGTAACTAATAGTAATAACAATAGCTTTATTCTGAACAATGTTTATATAATGTACAGAATTCTCAGTAGTATTTTCTGTTCGTCCAGTATACTCAAATAAAAGATCAATCGACCGACAATAGATCGTGTGACACAGCTCTAATTGACCTGAAGCTGAAACCAATGATAATATCTCTTGTTTTTCTTCTTCGGGAAATACACGATATTTTGTTGAATGACACGATTACAAAAGGTCCAGGAGTACATTCTGTGAACGAAAGACACCACTCAGGAACGGTCACCTCCTATATTGGGATAAGTTGCCTTCCAACGAGGATAGTGAGAAACTTGAGAATAAGCAGATTGTGAACACTAAATACTCTCCAGAGTGAAGAACACTATTAGAAGTGATATTTTAATAGACTTAAGCAAACTGTATAAGAGAAACTATATCCGTTGTGTTGATGGAGGTCTTTTTGGTACACCAAGCTTTAAGCAAACCACCTTCTCTTTCAATATTCTGTTCGAAGGCACAGCTGGAAAAAATGAGATAAGACTCATCTTTTCGTACCTCCCCATGGAAATCTCTAGTCAAGGGAGAAAAATCTAACCGCAAATGAGGAGACACCAGTGTCGTCAATTTTTTTTTACAAAGTTTCACGTTGAGAATTCAGTTCAGTTGTCTTTCTATGATACTACTTTATGTATCAGACTGCGAATTATGACGAAAGTGTGCTAACATTTACCAGAATAGAGACCTTGGAGATTATTTTTAAAATCAAAGATGTTCCTAAATTAGTACCTTGTTTATGTGGAAAGTTATGGAAACGTAAATGAGCTTTTTATCAAGGTTTTTTTTAACATAGTCTAAGCTCATATTTTTGAATAGTCGTCATTCCTATTAGTATCTCTAGGGAAATACATACTTTAGTCTTCTCAGCTGTGCAATATCACTACACATAAATAATACGGATTAATTGCAAATTAGATTAACAACAACACTCCTTTATTCATCATTTACACAAGGAAAGCAGAATTATTCAAGCATAATTTTGCATGCTTAATTAACTGCAGGTGTAACAACAGAAGACAAGGGCCAGGCAACAGATCGTTTTATTATGAAAATCAACACGTATTTATACATCTTTCAACTACATTATTATAGACAAGCGCAGTCATCTGATTGGTTGTTTAGGTAGACAAACGCAGGCTTCTGATTGGTTGTTTCGGGATTCCTTGACAAATAGAGTTCTCTCTGCGAATCATATTTTGCCACGTTAACTTTGCTGTGATTGGTTGTTGACTCAGGCTTGTTCATATCTTCTCACGGCCCACATTAGTGACCTAGACCTTAACGTAGATTAGTGCCAACCAATCGGCTAGCAGCCTGCTCTCACCACACTCGTCCCCCCGTCAAATACGTGCGACTGAAGTCGGCTTGATCTACTTGGTGCAGGCGTCATCGTTGGCTTGTCTCGCTGTATCCATTTCTGGAACTCGCTGGCGTTCACGCGCCTCTTATTGTTCGCCATTGCGACTGTGTCTGCGTAACCCCATCTCGAAGTGACCATATATGGTCCTTCCCACTTTGGAAACTGTTTGCCTGACCCTGTCGTACATTCGTCCATACTTCGGCTCACACTTTCATATGCTGCTTTCACCCGACCTCCCAGCAGCGTCCCAAGTAGCAGCTCCATCGCTGACAGATCTTGAACGCCACTCAACTGCGCAGAAGCCTTGAAGTCTTGCTCGAAGATCCATATGTCTCCATCAAAAACAGCAGGGCATAGGCTTTCCATTTGTCGGTAGGCAACGACACCAAATGTAACAACAGAAGACAAGGGCCAGGCAACAGATCGTTTTATTATGAAAATCAACACGTATTTATACATCTTTCAACTACATTATTATAGACAAGCGCAGTCATCTGATTGGTTGTTTAGGTAGACAAACGCAGGCTTCTGATTGGTTGTTTCGGGATTCCTTGACAAATAGAGTTCTCTCTGCGAATCATATTTTGCCACGTTAACTTTGCTGTGATTGGTTGTTGACTCAGGCTTGTTCATATCTTCTCACGGCCCACATTAGTGACCTAGACCTTAACGTAGATTAGTGCCAACCAATCGGCTAGCAGCCTGCTCTCACCACACAGGAAATTCACAATCAATCAAATTTATAAGGAGATATTAATTCCGATAAATTAACATCTATGAAATATTTTCCGTGTTATCACACACGACATATCATCTCACTCAACACCTATGGATGGATCATTAGAGAATTTATATTTAAGTTGTTTGATTGTTCTGCTCTGTTACTTTGGTTTTATCAGAAGGTTTAATCGTTAAAAATGTTCTGATCTTAGTATTCATTCCTGTTAGCTGGAACTGATCCTTAAATTCATTCTTACAATCTTATGAATACTAACCTACGGATCAGTATACTGTTGAAATCACGGTTGACTTTACTGTAGAGTTGAACTGCAACCATCAAATTAGTCGCCAGATAGTGTTCTCAGTTAAATGGTGACTCTGTAAGCATGACTGACAGAATCTAAGCAGTAGATAAAACTTTACGATCATTATATATCGTATTACTGTTTATTACTTATCCCTTGGGTTCCGAGTGAAACCTATTTCCATTTCTTCTTGTTCTCTACAGTCCGCTTTATCTGGTCCCAAGATTGCCCATAGGCCCTCATCTACCATTTACACGATTTCCTCCATATCACTTTCGGCCCATGCTCAACTCGTCGTTTAGCAGTCAGGCTCCACCCACCTTCCGGATTCCGGTTTTGATATTCTCATTTGTTCTGCCTGTAGTTGAAATGATGGTTTCTAGGTAAGTGAAGAAAGTAACCTCCATCAGATCTTTCCCCAATTTGATAATGGTTGGTGCTGGTTGGTGTTGCTCTCGGTTGGTTATCTTCACCGCTTCCGTCTTTTCTATGTTCACCCCAATTACTTGTTGGTTTTCGCCCGTAGATTTCTGAGCTTGTGTGACACTAGACGTAAGTCTTCTGCAAAATCCAAATCTTCTGGGGTTTTCTGATCGGTCCAATGTATTCCTTTCTTATAGCTCCTCCTGCACAGTCTTTCGCATAATCTAGTTCACCACAGTTAGAAACATTGTCGGTGGTATTTGGCAGCCTAGTTTTACTCCTGTCTTCACTTCAAAGGCTTCACTGAGTTCTCTGTTGTTGGTCACTTGACATGTGGCACTGTTATACTGCTGTTGAATGTGACTGATAAAGGTTTGGGGTACGCCATAGTGTTGAAGCAGTTTCCAAGTTACTTCGCAGCCAACGCTATTGAAGGCCTTTTCATCAGTCTTACAGTAATTTGCCTAATGGCATAAACTGATAAGCTGCCCTTCAAAGCATCTTTTACACTATAAGGAAGCTATTTATTGATAAGGTTATTAGTAACTCACTGTTATACTTTCCCATCATTTTATCTGCGAAAATCTTCTTAGCATATCTGATAAAATCTTCTGATTTCATCTCATGAATCTTTTTCAACATTTAAGCTACTTCCATTTTCACTATGATTACCTTGTTGATGGACGTTTTAACCGAAAAAAGGGGTTTTTACCACTTGTTGTTTCCAATCACCTGACAAGTGACGACAATGCATTTAAATAAATAATTTATGACCACTATTATTTCACATTATATATTTCATTCATTGACAAAACTTTTCACACTTATTTTGTCAAAACCTTTGTCAGATTACATTAAAGGCAGCCAGCATTTGAATTTATCAAAAAACTGATTGTATCAAATGTCTTTCTTTATTCGATTGGAATCAGCAATCTAGGGAATTTTACACGTATAAGTTCATTTAGGTATTCATTTCATTAAGTTTTAGAATCTGTACATTTTTAGTAGATTTATTGTATTTCGGTTGCATTTCATGAAAAAAATAAACACATTCCCTTGAGTCAAGCGCTGTGTCTTTTCTTTTCGCTTACCAACTTCAGATTTTCTAGGTGTCATAATTAGGATGTAATACATTTTCTTGGTAGATTTTGTCGCTGATCGGCTATATTGAGTATTAGATTACGCAAAAAAAGCATTTTAAGATCAGATGGCCAGAAAGAATCACTAACAGGAAACTATGGAAACAAACAAAACAAGAACCAAACGCCCAACAAATATGCAAGATGGAAAAAAAAAAAATTGGACACTCGCTGAGGAGGCCGCTGGATGACATCGCGCGTTAGGACACTGATCGACTGGGACCCGAGAGGGACGTCCAAGGGGGACATGGAGGAGATCGTGTGAAAAGGGGGTGAAACAGTATGGACTAACATGGATACAGGTGAAAAGTACAGCAAAAGACAGAAGCAAGCGGAGACGTGCAGTTGAAGCCGTATGTTCCACTAGGAACCCAAGGGAACAATAATAATAATAAAACAAACAAGCATTTTTTTAAAAAATAAGATTTCCGCCACGTACATTTTCTGGTATTAATCATTTCATTTTTTTACTGAGGAGATTTTGTTTGAATGATCCTCTTGAGCGATAAATCTTCGTTTCAAGAAGAGTTGCTGATGGTTAATTTTGGATACACCTAAAAGCTGAAAGATATTCATCTTCTTGTTTGATGTAATGAATGTACAATGTTCATTTATTTTTTCCTTTGTTGTAAAGGCTTGCGAATGAACTGTCAACAAATACTTTTTGTACACAAAACCATACTGAACAAAAGACAGTATCGAAGGCATGCCCTGAGTTACTTTGCAATTTGCCTGAACTACACTGTGCAAGATTGTCTAAAGCGCATAGCGTCTTAGGATATGAAAGTGTCAGACATGATATTTTCAGTAAATCTGATGACAACAAGGATTACTGTAATTCAAACAATGCATATCCATCACTTCGTAACTCTCGTCGTAGAGAAAGTGCCAGAATTCATCCACACTATCAATCCGTTCAGTGCTCAGCTGCAGTTCTTCGTCCTCCACGCCCACCACAAAGAACAACTTCACTAGTCAGAGATAATCAATCAGTTAGATCTAACAGCATTATCAGTTCAGATGCATCATACTCTTCCCACAGTAGCCCTAATCGTAATCCAACATGCTCTAAGCAAGAATCAAACAATCAAGTGAGTTCACAGTTAATGAGTCTGTTTCGCATAGTTTTATTACATTTTTGTTTTAATTCAAATTTGTATTGTTAACTTTCTTCACTATTAATAAATAGAAAAACACCTGTCCCACATATCTGGAAAATTCTACTACCCCTATGACAAATAGGAGAAAACAAAGAAAACTATAAAACTCAAGTTTAGAAGGCGTGTGATTACAATTGACATGATTATGAGCGATAAATTTTGTTCGAAACGTCATCCAGTTAAAAATACTGTTTCAGTGTATCATATATCTAATAAACAAACTAATATGTTTTAGAACTAACCTACCCACCGAAAGGTTAAATAAACATAATTCCAACTTACTTTACATAACGTCTCTTTTTAATGGAAGATTAATTTGCAAAATAAGTTATTTACTTTGATTGAACACTAGTAACTGGTGTGACGTGTCTAGTCTTTTCTTCGGTGTAGACTGAATTCTATCAGTTAGGTATGCAATGTGGCCACCATTCTAGGTAGCTCTCCATCACATTTTTCTGATCGCTGTTTTCCTTTAGATTACACTGACGTGGCCTAGTGCTGTTTTCTTCCGTTTTCTTCGTTAGCCACAACTTTACAGGTGCTATGTGTGTGTGTGTGTGTCAACTGACCCGTCCTATAGCTGCACATAAGGATGGAAACTACATGTAGCATAGGCCAGCTAACACACAATGAATGCTTTGTTTGCATGAAACAGTAGAGAAGGCTGGGAATGGGTATCTAAGATACGCGTTTTCTTCCCCATGATATCACAAAAGATATTGTCAAAGCATTTTATGAAAGACGATAATTTAATTTTTTATTTACAGCTTGATTCCACACTGTATTTTTGGTACAAGTATGGAATTTTCAGCATGGATATCAGTAGCCCAAATTTTGCAGGCCGACCATAGATATCAGGTGTGCGTCGGCAGGGGATTGAACCTCGGACCATGCGCATGGTCGACGAGAGTCCTGACCACTGTGCCACCGACGCACAGTTCACTTTTGAAAATGAATAATGACCTAATCAACATAATTTCTGAAGACACAAAATTTACAAGGGAAAAGGAATTAGGGAATGAAATTCTACTTTTAGATGACTTCGTTAGGTAGGCGAACACAAGAGAACTAAAAACTGAATTATACAGAAGATTAAAACATATATATCAAATGCTCAATTGTAACAACACCAATAACAACGAACCAACTGCACACAAAAGAAATTATGTACGAATATTATTTGAAAGTAGCAGAACACATTGCAAAACTCATGGCTTAGTGAGAATATCCAGTAATATGGATATCCACAAAACTTCATCAAAAGATGCCTGCCAACAACTAAAACTATCCAATGAAAGGTCAAGGGATATCATCCTACTCTTTGTGGAATTACTGTTAGAATACTGAAACTTTATGCACTAGATGTTGATTACAAACCGACATCACCTACAAGATAGATAGGATCAGTTGAGGAAGATACATTTTGGCCATGAACATATACTGGCAGTTATAGGTCGCGACATATATTCACTTATATCATTTCATCTGGGGAACTGTTTACTGGTGAAATGTGCAAATTGCAGAATAATTTGTGGAAGTCTGCTGGTCAGATCGATTTTTCACTAACAGATATGTGGATTTAGATTAAATTTATCATACAGTAAGAAAACAGGTCTTCCAAGTTTGACCACGGACTGATATCACTCAGAGAACCATTGAGAACCAGGAAGTACTGGACAGCTGTTTCTTCCTAGTTTGGGACTCACTACCAGTACGAACCCACTGGGTTTCGTTCGAACCCGGGACCTTCCAGTTACAGGTCAAGCTCTTAGATCATCAAGCCACTGAGACCCTAACAATGGCCAGCCCATGGAATTCTAACTTCTATCAATTCGTGCGCTACCACAAGCCAAAATCATCGATGAGTATTTGTCCTCACTTCCATCTACTGGTCGCAAATTCTCACTCAAACACCAGGAAACTTTATCCTGTAGCTAGTCACTAGCGAGCACCCGGTGGGTGCGCACTGCTGGTGAGTCTCAAGCTAGGACGAAACGACTGTCCAGCACTTGATAGAATAGATGTCATTTTTCTAAAACGTTTACCATACATTATGTAACTGAAGTAGTTTTGATTTATTTGTTTCAGATTTTATCTACTTCACTTTATGGAACATCCAATCAGAACAGATATTCATATATTAAACCATTGGATAATATGAGCATTGCAGCCGATAAACTAACTGATAAAGAAGTCAGTGATTTGGATTCAGAAAATGATACAGTCTGGTGGTCTCATCTATTGCCCTACAAACCATCAAACTTACCAAGTAATTTAGCTGACCGGCTAAGACAACGGAACAGTTTAATTCTTTCTAGAAGTTCACCAACAGCTCGACTTTCAAATAGTTCATTGCCTACTTCATTCCCGTATAACTGTTCTAATCAAATTAACAATAGTAATAATAATAATAATGGCAATGGTAATAAAGTCGCCTACAACATTCCCAATCTAATGATCCAATCAATGTATGAACAGAGTGATTCTTCGGGTTCTAGTGGACTAAGAACCGATGGTTTATCTTCTCTTTATTATACACGAAATAAAGGTGTCAGTGATTCACGAATCAGACATTCAAGACCATTAAGTGTGCATACAGACTATTCACACAGTGCTAATAATTCATTTCATCTGCCGTCATTAACACATTTAAATTCAACAATAAATACTGACACTGTTCATTATTCCTCATCATCATCATCAGCATCATCACAACAAAGACAACTTCAACAACAACAACAACAACAACGGCCTAGTCAGCAAATATCAACACGGCCATCTAGTCTTCATTAGGTTTATCTTTCAAAAATGTTACCCCTAAGGCAACTAGTTTTGTAGCAGCAGCAGCAACAACAACAAACACCCACACCAACCATAACAAGCACAAGAACAAATAAACTGTATGAGTCTCATAACTCTTCCGCCTATTTACCTCAAACAAACATTTTCAATAGTATACCGGACTACCTATTGACACCATATCCGCCTAGTGATAGTCCATTACTAGGTCAGTATTGTCGTTTACTACTACTTCGAACAAACGATGGTATACAGAGAAACAACATTAGCATCAATAATAATGCTGACAATAATAGCAATGGTATTAACATTAATAATATGAACAATAAAAATGTTTCACCACCAATTGAACATTCTTCCAAATTAACGCCAACAGCTGAAACACCCGCTTACATAAGTCAACATTTATGCGTATATATATATATATATATATATATATATATATATATATATAAATTCTTGAAAATCGATTGATGTGTTTAGAAAGGAGCAGTAATCCGTTTTTCATTGCCCTCTCTCTCTCTCACTTGGCTATATAATCTTTGGCTTCAACCTCTTCCCTGTCACTACAGTTTAATTTTGTATGTCTCTCTCTTCTTTGATTTGAAACGAACTCACCTCACTATTAATCAGTTTATTAGTTACTCGTCATCTAATCCACCTCTTGTCTTTATTGCGCAACTTCTTTGCCATTGTATCCAAGCGCTTATTTATTGTTTAAACTTGAGCCTATATGAGTATTGTGAATTCATAGCATAGAAGATAAGATCCGTCTGCGAAACAAAGGGTGACAAAATTAAGTCTCATTGCAAACCAGTACATCAGCTGGACGAAACCAATACACAGTGATAAGAGGGCTAGACTTGATCTTCAATCACTGCTAAGTACTAGTAGACATAATTTCTTTAACTAGAATGTTGGAGCTTACTCAAATATCTGGTGCTCAATGAAGCGATTTGAAATGTTTTGAAAGAAATTTAGTGAAACATTTGTCTTTCTGAACAAAATCATTGGATAAGTTTGTAAAAGAATACAAAGTAATAAAAGGAGAATCATTACATTTTGGTCAAACAAAGGGTAACTTGGTAACTTGTATACGGTGGAGGCACTGGCGATTTGACGATTCATAGGATATCTGCGTATGCAACAAAAATGAATGCACACTCTTTAAAGATCTTCGTTTCAACATAACTTACACAACACCTTGCGTCTTTGGTTCAGGGGTAGAATGCTCGCCAACCATGCATGTAGTCCGAGGTTTGACCCCTGTCCGACGCGCCATTACACCTTGCTAAGCCAACAGCAAGGGTGGTGAAGAGCGAAAGTTTGGCTTGAGGCTGGCAGCGAAAACCCGTAAAAATGAAACCAATGCTACTGAAACTTCGGAGTTCTAGCTTGAAACCTTGTAGCCGACTCAGAACGCAAAGCAGCAAAATTTAAAAAAGTTATGATACCTTAGATTAAGATAAAGCCTTCTTTATGCTTACATACTTGTTTCCTTCTCTTGTACTAGGTTATTTATACAACTGTTTCAATGAAATATTTATTTATTTAAAGAATTCAAAAGTAGAGGGTGAACAGCCCAACTCAGTGAAATTAACATATATGTAAACCGTTGACACTGTGGTCGTAAGTAATTCTATACTAATTTGTTTGTGGGATATATCACTGCGAAACAGTCTTATTCAATGAATGTACTTTTAAACACAATTTATTGTTCATAAGAGTTAGTGATCCTGCAAAGAAATCGGAATTTCACTCTCTTCCTTGCATTTTCTCTCATACAGTCAGGGGTGGGGATCAAAGTCTAAAAACGCAGACTTCTTTGAATAATCACTGTCCAATCCCTTTGTTTTCATCTGACTGACAAGGTACATAATGATGCTTAGAAGTAGATGGGTCCGATTTCGACAGTGAAACTTACTCATCTATACAAAAATATCCGCACATAGGCCAATGTTATATGTGAATATGGGACCAGGATACAAATAAAACCTGTTGGGAGTACTGAAAAGCTGTTTCGTCCCAGTCTGAAACTCTTCACCCAGCACACCCCTTGGTGGGTACGGAATTTCCACTGGTTCTCTAACAGACTTCAGCTCACGATGAAACCCTGTAACCAATCAATCAAATCCCTACAAATCAATGCTTGAATACAAATAAAAATTGAGAATAGGATAATTGTAATCTTCAGTGTTTTTAAAAAACTCAACAAATCTAGTACTTGGTGTTTTAAACTTGTCTTGAAGTCAATTCTGTGGTCTCGCACAAAATGAAGCTGAATTCTACGTCTAAATTGATTAGTAAATTAATTAAAAATTGTACACTGAGAAACTGAAGTAATTACCAAGATATTAACAGTTTACGCTACAAATATTTGGAGTAATAAAAGGAATTATTCTGCTGAAAAAAGGACATACTAGAACACAATGCATTGTCGGAGTTATAGAAAGAAACTTATTAAGTCAATAAACATAAGTATGTTTTTACTTTAATGAAAGAAATTAGTTACTGGATAAGTTGTGTGTTTTTTTTCAACTAGACAGAAAATCAATTAGTCCAGTCGTGCGCGGTCAGTCCTTAAGATTGTGCTTATAGTCAGTGTTACTACCTACGCCTGGTCAGTTAAATTCACTCAACATGTAGTAAAAAAAAACGCGTGGATCAATATTCGTGTTCACAAATCACTACTGTTAAATAACCTGCTAACAAACTTATTGGGTTCATATATGTTGATATAATATGAGTGATGTAAGAGTCTATTGGACTGTTTAATTAAACTGGATGGTACTCCTAAGGCAGTCAGTCAAATAATATGTTGACGCCTGAGACCGCAGCACTTGGTGATGCCAGTGTGAATCTTTTAGAGTATACTTGCAGATGCTTCCTGATGACGAGTGTCAGTAGCCAATTTACTTTGGTTAGAGGATTAATGCTAATTGCCTACAACCACCTAAAATACTTAATAGCTTCAGATGAAGTTTAAACAACGGCAGTAATCACAGCAACAAACTAATTTCGAAAATATCTTCCTGCTTTCCTAATAGGCTAGTGAAAATCATGCTATGGAGATAAGAATTTCTCATTTTTAGCAGTTGGGCGTGTAAAAGCCAATGAGAATATTTAGACAATCAGAGGAGAAATAGAGCAACATGAAAATCATACTTAGAAATGCGAATACCTAGTCAGAAAAAATATTTATATCTGTCAACTTGACAGCATATAAAACAGTGCTTCATTTCATTGGACAAATTTGTATTCAAAAACCTGATACTTACCACTACTGAAACCACTTAAAACCCCATCTATTCGAATTCTGAGAGGTGAAAACTACTGAACTATCAAAGGATAAACAAACAGAAAAGTAACTGAAATGTGTGCATTATTTTATTAGCGCCATTCGGCAACTTTGTGGAGACTTTCTTATTATTCCCTTGGATTCCTAGTGGAATATAGTCCTTCGATAGCACTACTACACTTCCCTCGTTTCTTCACAGTGTTTTCTAGTCGGCTTCATGATTACGCATAAACTTACATTTCCTTCTCGCACTGTTTCCTCCTATATGCTACTCTCAGACTCTAGCTAAATTCGTCTTTTGCTATGAGGATTCCGGTCGAAGGTCAAGGGGGGGGCGTAATTTCACTAAACGGTTTCTTAAGTGTATGTTTAATCTATCCAGATTTCTTTCCGTATATTTACTCGAAAATAGCCTGTAGGTCTGTTTGTTGACATAGTTCATTGATAATTTTGTCACACACTTGATATGTCAGTGTAGCATAACAAAAAAACGATGCTGAATAGTCTATTATTTTTTTTATTTTTATTTTTGATTTACAGCTTGATTCCACACTGTATTTTTGGTACAAGTATGGAATTTTCAGCATGGATATCGGTAGCCCAAATTTTGCAGGCCGACCATAGATATCACGTGTGCGTCGGTGCGGGCTCGAACCCCGGACCATGTGCATGGTCGGCGAGAGTCCTAACCACTGTGCCACCGACGCGCTACTTCAGCATGGCCTTCGAAAGCGTTCAACGAGAGGTAATTTGGAAACTGATTCAACACTACGGCATGCGGTGCCCAAGTTCTTATCAATATCAGTCAACAGCAGGTTATATTGACAATTTCACGTGCCAGGTGATTCATAATGGAAAAGTTAGCGAAGCGTTCGAAGTGAATACCGGAGTAAGACAAGGCTGGCTGCCTATAATCGCCGATGATATTCTTAATCTTAATTGTGGTGGACTGGAGTAGGCGGAAGACTGTGGGGAGCGAGGAGACACGAATAAGCTGGACAACCGATAAGAAGACTGTAGAAGATCTGGATTTCACAGATGATACATGTCTAATGCCATACAAACTCGAACACTTAGAGACAGGCGAATACCAAGACAATGGCTGAAGAGGATGGCAGTGTGAAGACAGGACTCCAAGTGTATACAGAGAAGGCGGAGGTGATGAGGAAAACCAACGACTAGAAACAAAAAACAACAATCAGCACCATTCACCACCCCAATTGGGAGATTTAACAGATTTCGCCTCCTTCACTTATATCTAGGAGGCATCGTTCCATCTACAGGCGGAACAGATGAAGATGCCAAAGCCAGCCAGAATTGGTAAGGCAAGATACGCCTTCATCAACGTGAAACCGGTTTGGAAATCTTCTGCAATCTGCCTCAGCATAAAAAGACAAGATTCGCATTTTCAACAGCCGGTGTCAAATCAGTCGTTCTATACTGCTCAAAAACGTGCACTGAGTGTCACGAAAAGGGGGATTTCCAACAGGCTGCAGACGTCTCTTCCAACAGCTGCCTTCTCTGACTCTTTCTTGAAGATCAAATTGCAGAAAGAATTAGTGTAACAAGAAACTCTGGCTGGGAAAAAACCAGCAGGCGAGGGCCGATCGCTCAACAAATATGTAGGGAAAAATGAAGATGAATGAGGCATACATTGAAGAGGCTGTCAGATGACATCTCGTGCAATGCAGGCCAT